TACCCCATCCCACTGCGGAGCCGGGCTTGGGCTCCCCGCTCACCGCACCCTGCCAGCACCGTGGGCTCAGCGCCTTCGGTGCGCGGGGAAAGGACTGGGGGTCAGGGCTCGGGCTCTGTCCCCACAGCAGCCCAGTGGTTCCAGTATGGCACGTGGGACAGTCACCAGCGAGACCACAGGACCAGGCACGGCCACGCTTCCGTCTTTTACCCAAAGAGATGGGATTTGCACCCATTCGGGGGGTGACTTTCCAGGGTGCCACGCGCCCCGAGCAGGCAGGGACGAGGTCCACGGAGCCTCCCACAGCAGAGAGGGGAGCTGGGACCCCACGCAGCGTTCCCTGGGGGGCTGCAGGAGCACAGAGGCACCCCCAGACTGTGCTGGGTGAAGCCAGCAAGGGTCTGGGCTGGGGAGCCCCCCGCTCCCCTCCCCGGCAGGGACTCTACCCCGCGAACACCAGTTGGATACTGGTTTCGGACTGGAGGCAGGGCTGCGAGCTGGGAGACCCCCCAGTGCTGGGGGTCCACGGAGGGGCTCAGGGCTGCGGCGCTTCCGCAAGAGAGGGGGCAGCTCCTCCATCCCTGTGCTGGGGGCATCAGGAGAGCAGGAAAAATTAATCACACACCCCTCAACGATGGGAAGGAGAAGGGGGACAGGGGATGCACAGACCGGAAGAACTGGTTATCAAAATACTTTATGTCAGGGAGATCCCTCAAAAAAAAAAAAAAAAAAAAGGGAAAAAAAAAAAAAAAAAAAAAAAACAACGCACACCTTGTTAGGCAGACATCCCCACACCACCTTCAGGGCTCCTTTCAAATCGACTAAACCAATCCTATGCTTAAAATAAAAGACAGGTCGTTTTCCCAATCAAGACTTTAGTCAAGAATATATATATATTTTTGTTCCTGGGTGGAGGGGGGGGGAGGGCAGGGAGAAGGTGATGTTGCCAGTAGTTCACAGCAGTTTTCGGCTCTCTCGGTACACAGTATATGGAACTGCATGGCTGGAGACACTCAACACACAGCAGGGCTACCTAGGAGAATACAACTCAAGGCTAGCGGAGAGGAGAGGGCAGCGAGGAAGAGGGGGAGAGCGAGCGCGTCCGACGGGGCTGGAGTCCTCTGTGCATAATTTACATGGAACCGGCGGCGGCAGAGCCCGGGGCTGGCCCCGCGCGCCCGCGGGGAGCCGGGGCGAGGCGGCCAAAACTTCAATGTGGTGGGGGGGGGTTCGGTTTTCTTTTTTTTTTTT